ATAAAGAGAGGCAATGAAGAGGGGACTTCAGGAATCTCAGATTCTGGCCAGGACAGGAAAGCCCAGTTCCCTCTGGATTGGTACCTGTGGTTATTTCAGCTGACAGCCACTGGGGGCAGCAGAGAGCCTCCACACAGTCAAGGAAATGGACCAATCAGGAGCAGGAATCCACTGGTGGGTGGGTGGTGGTGATTAGGGGAGTGTGAGATGGAGCCAAGATTTACAGGTGGGCCCTAGAGAAATCAGCATGACCAGTGGCCTAGGTCCAAGGGCTCCTTTCGGCTTTCCCACTGGAATCCAGTACCTCTAGTCCAAGCAGGATGCAGTCTTAAGGGGAAATGAAGTCTAGAGTGACTTTAAAATTAATAACTCCTACTTCATTTACTGTTTTATTATTAATATTACTATTGTTATTATTGTCTTAATAATATTGTCTAATCTGTGGTCTGAAACCCAGATTTACATCGCTTACCACCCTTCAATAGTTTTGTTCTGCGCCGGGCAGCCACTGTAATCCACTGATAGAGAAATTAAAATTTCTGGCTTGTAGTGTCAATGGCTAGAATAGCACCCTCCCTCAGTCTGGTTTGATCCACTATCAGTTCATTTGTGTGTGTTTGGCTTCCTTGGTTTCAAGAGAAGTCTGAACTCAGTTGGAGTTACTTTTAGGGAAAAAAAAAAACATGTTTTCTCATAAATTGGGTTGGATGGGCAGAGGCTCTCTGAGAGTACATCTCAATTCTTCCACTTTGTCCTCACTGCGCCCTCAGAGCCTTTGGGACCTGCATGGCAGCAACTCCGTTAGGAGTCTGGATAGTCACCTAGAATGACCTAGAACCCCAAGGGTGGAACTCCAGAGAATGCAAAAGTGGGTGTGTGGAGGCCTCTATCCAGAGTAACATGAGCCCCAGGCTGCCACTTCAGTTTTGCTTTGGCTTGGTCAAGGGGCCTGGTGTGCTATAACTAGATTAGCAAGTCTTTTATTGGAAAGACCTGGAAATGGCTTCCTCCCTATGGGTCGTATGGTCATCTGGGTGATTTTTCCTGCTACTAGTGAGATCACGCAGCCAGAGCCCCAGTGGCTCTCTGCAGATAGCTGCCTGGCCTGGCTCTATTCCTTCCCCAGGCTCTCTGTGGCTTTGTTTTGGATTGGTCAGAGCTGGCCAAGATTGGGCGATGGGCAGGGATGAATCCTTCAGGCAGCTGCACTGTCCCCTGCTGGAACCCTCCTGGAGGTTGTATAGAGAGATACAGTACTTATGAGGAAAAAGGACTCCAGCTCCTGGGGGACCTGTGAATGACCCAGACCAGTAAGTGCAGGGAAATTTTAGAAGCTGAGCTCCCAGCAGACTTCCACAAGTTCCAAGATGGCGGAAAGAGTTGCTGGTTATTCTTTCGATGTAAGGTCAGTGGCATCAGCCACCAAAGGGGTGAAAGCAATACCACAAAGGACATGGTTCTCTGGGGGTACTCTCTTGCTTTCAGGAGAATGAAGCTGTTTGTTTATCCCTGGAGAGTGAAGGGCACATCAGATGAGGATCTACATTGTGCCATTACAATGTCCATCCCTCCATTTTCCTGTCCGTCCAGGCATCCATCCATGAAGTGAGGTGCTGTGTTTGAAAGCAGGAGCCAGCCACAGAACTGGCCCTCAAGGAGATAAGATGTTAAGACTAAAATCAGCACTGAGAGGTGGAACAAAATGCCGATTCCCTGGAAGGAACTAGGTGGAATGTGTGTGTCTGGGGGCCTCTTAGCTCAGGCTCTCAGACAAATCTGAGACAGACTTATGTGCAGGAGAATGGTCTTGGGAGCAGCCCCTCAGTGAAGGGAAGGAAGCAGTATTGCAGTGCAGTCATAAGAAATGACTTGGCCAGCCACATGGGCAGCTCTGAGCTGGATTGCCCTTTGAAATTGTTTGACTTGAGGCAAGGGGATTGGTAGGCCTTTATCTCCACCTTGTCCCCACCCCCCATCCCACATTGACTACCCATTTGGATGTGCATCACTTCCCATTCTCCTACCTCAGGCATAACCTTGGGCAAGACAGCTCCCTTTGGTTGAAGGCAGTGCTCTAAGAAGGAGTCTGCTGTCAACTTCTGCAGCTGGGGACATCTGGGTGATGTACTATAGCATCCACTCTAGAGAGTTTGGGGGTTTGACAGCAAGAGAGAAAAGCAATCTAGCATGAAGGTATGATGGAAGGGGCAATTTAGTTGAGATTCGACTAATATACGAGATCCTGACATCCAGGTATGGTAGGGGTGAGTGAACAACTATAGCAAAGGTGTGTTTTAAGACCAGCAGGTGGAGTTAACTGGTCTGAAGTAATGTCAGTAGGAAGTCAGTCTGGACAGACAGGGGTGCCTTGCTGGAGCACCTTGCTAGGCATTGAGAGTCCTACAAAGTATCTTCTGTATGCCATGTTGGAAATGAGCCAGCAAGGGATTTTTGCTGGTGAGTGACCTACGGGAGAGCGGGGCTCCAGGGTGAGCATTTTGCCAGCTGTGTGTGGACTGATTTTAAGTGGGAAGACACAAGAGGCAAGGAGACCACTTAGGAGTAAGATGGAGAAGAGGCAGGGAGGTGAGGAATGTGATAGAGGAGGTTGCCTCCAGGCTCCAGGAACTGATTGAATGTGGGTGGTTGGAACTTGGGGAGGAGCCATTGAGACCATGGAGGTTGTGTCCCAGGAGTTCCACGGGGCTGGGTTAGAAAGGGGAAGGTGAGCTGGACTCTGTGCGGGCGGGGGTGACAATGTGGCCTCTGAGTGGGGCTGAGGGAGCGGACAGAGAGAGGCCTCTTTAGAAGGTGGCAGAGGCTGTATGGTGTGTCTGCTTCCTGCGGCAGCCTGCCTCTCTTTTTATGAAGGCTGTTTTCTTATCTGAGTTCCACCATTTTCTTCATCCAGCCTGGCTTATCTGTTTGTTTTATTTAACTCTGATAAAGCACTTACTGTGTGCCCATGTCATCCTAAGCATTTTATACATGTCCACCCATTTAATGATCTTATAACCCTATTTATCCCCATTTTACAGTTAAAAAAAAAAAAAAACTAAAATACAGAGTCAGATGACTCCCAAAGTCAGCTTATGAGCAGCAGGGCCTAGAATGCTTTCCACAGCCCTTGGGCTCCGAGCAGCAGTGGTCTTCATGGTAGATTCTCTCAGTCCTGGTGTCCGACTGTCAGCCAGCCACATCCTTCCTCCCTCAGGAGGTCACTGAGCCTGTTTTTCTGCTCACTCCTCATGAAAGACCTCACTGCTCCCTTTCTTGGTCACTGCTGTGACCTTACATGCTGTGTCCCTTACTTGCCCTCCATTCTGTTTTCTCTCCCTTAAGACACCAGGGACCATATTACCACCCAGCTCCTAGAGCCGTTAAGCTCCTTAAACACAAACAATGGGTCTTAAGGTTTTAAGACCACACTGATCAAAGCTGGAGGGCAGGAGTATTGGGACCTAGAAGACCAGTTAGCCCAACTCCTTCCTTTTAGATGAGGAATTGGGAGGACCAGAGAGGTAGAGTGACTTGCCCAGGGCTGCACAGCAAATTAATTGAGAGAAGCCATTGAAAGGGTTTTGCTTGTTTTTAATATTTGAGACAATTGAAGTTTCAGTAATAGAATTTTTCAATTACTGTTATAGTCATACATTGGATTAACTTTAAAAATAACTTTATGCTAAGAGCTTGTATATGGGCTTTTGGCCTGAAAACGATGACTGCCTTGGGTGGATGCCATTTTTTATCTCATTTACAGAGGAAGAAACTGAGGCGCTGATTGGACAATTAGCTTGGCTAAGGTTACACTGGAAGTAAGAGGCAGAGCTGGGGTTCAAACCCAGGTAGTCTGGCTCCAGACTTGCAGCCGTTAATAGATTTTAACCTTAGTACTGTCTGGCCTCTTTAATGATTCTGGAAAGATATAGAAGTTGTTATGTGAAAAGAATATACAATATGATTTTGTTTTGTTTTAAGGATGTATATCTGCCTAGAAAACAAGTTGACATGTAGGTATCAGTGTTGGTAGTAGGGACTTCGAGTTGTGGGATTACGGGCGATCCTTTCTTCTTCTTTGTGCTTTTCTACATCATCGAATTATATATAGTGAGAAAATATTATTATTTTCATCACAAGATAATTTTATGAGAAGTCTCTGCTCATAGCGGTGAAATGGGTAAAGTAGTGTTTGGGGGATGATAATATATCTGCAGTATTAGCTTTATTTCTGGCTGGACCATGTAGCTGGGCATTGGAGGTGGCCAGTCAGATGCAGCAGTTATGATTCAAACAAGACATAGAGCTGTAGAACCGGGAAGGACTTTGGAATTCACCCCATTTAGAAGAGGACCATGTCTCTGTATGACCCCTGGGTCAGTGCTCCTTCCTCTGTGCTTTGGGGATTCAGGTGACAATGGCATTTGGGGAGAAATACCTACTTGGCAGCTAGGGTTCCTGGAGGTCCATGAGTTGGCAGCCTCAGGGGATAAGAGAAGGAGGGGCACTAGGGGAAGGTTTTAGAGCAGCGGTCTCCAACATTTTTGACACAAGGGACCGCTGCTCCTTTGAGAATCTGATGCCTGATGATCTGAGGTGTAGCTGAGGTGGAGATGCTAGTGCTGGGGAGTGGCTGCAAATACAGATGAAGCTTTGCTTGCTTGTTAACCCGTCACCTCCTGCTGTGCAGCCCAGTTCCTAGCAGGCCACGGACCACTACCTGTCCATGGCCTGGGGATTGGGGATCCCTGTTTTAGAGGGTCCCAGCCAGAAGGCCACCTGCTTCTGGTGTGGAGATGGGTCCCCAGTAAAGAGAAGTTCTGTCATCATGGGAGGTGGGAAGAGTGTGAGAGCAGAATGCAGGCTCCTGCTTCCTGGGGTTAGGGAGGAAGGTGAGTGGCCAAGACAATTTTTCCAGCTCTGACCATCTAGTTCTGCTCTGTGACCTTCTGAGGTTCTACCCTATGAAATTCTGAAAGTGATTTTGTTTTTTCTTTGACCAGAGACCACCTGGGAGCGTCCCAGCAGTTCTCCTGGGATTCCAGCCAGCCCTGGCCCTCACAGGAGCTCTCTGCCTCCAACAGGTACTGTCTACACTAGGACAGCCAGCAGGAGCCACACACACTTCCATTGGAAAGGCCCGGACTCTGGATCCTGGGATCTAAAACCTGATTGGCAATCTTATGGACCAAACCTGGGAGGGTTCTGGAGGGGTAGGAGTTCCTGTAAGCCTGTTGCCCTGCAGGATGGTATCTCCCTGGTAGAGCTAGCAACAACCTGGTGGCTCAGCCTCACTCTTGCTCAGGTGCTTAGAGAAGTCAGCTGGGTAAGGTGAGGCCTTAGAGCTCTTACCTGTCTGCCTGTGCAGGGACCCAGAGGCAGGGCAGAACTGTTCTACATGGGTCCCAAAGGCATTGAGGTGTAGAAGTTAAAGGGAGATAGATTTTTATAGAGCAGCTTTCAAACAGAACATTCTGGAAAGGAAATGAGATTCCTTGTGAGGGTATGAGTTTTCTGTCTGCAAAGGTAATCGAGGGGAGGGGAGGTGATCAAGGTAGATATTCCTGTAATAGGTGAGAAGTTTGTTACTCTTAGGGGACATTGAGTTCTGAGTTCCCAGAAAGTAAGTTGTGAGTCACACAAATAGGGAGAACAGCTTCTGACTTCTCATGGTTTAGGCCGTGTTTTAAATGTCATCTCCTCTGAGAAGCCTTCCCTGACCACTCAATTTAGAGCCCTTGCCCATGACTCTGGATCCCAGCAGCATGCTGTTTCATTGCCCTTTGGAGTACTTCTTCCTGTTGGCTGTCGCTCTCCATGCTAGACTGTATACTCCTGAGGGTGGGGACCTGGTCTCTATTTTTCTTTTATGGAATCCTCAGACCCCAAACAGCCTGGCCTCACTGGTGACTGAATTCATGACTGTCTCTGTAGTCACATGGTACGTAAACCTCATTTGTTGGTGTTCAACCTGTAGTTGTCAACCTGGGTGGTTGTGGTTATAACCTAGTATTTAAATGTGAATAGCTTTCAAAATGTGCTGATGGTTGTAGCTGGACAGAGGAGGGAAGGTACCTAGGAGGGGAGGGCAGAAGCAGCAGCGACATCCACAGCTTATGTGGATGGGAGAGGAGCTGAGAACCTCCTTAACCTTCATGGAACACAAAGTCATCAGAGGTTTAATAGTTTACCTAATGCATCTCAGGTAACCAAAGGAAGAGCTAAAATAATAAGTAATAAGATAATAAGTATTAAGAAATTAAAACTAACTAACCAGACTCTTAAACCCTGGATCGGAGAAGGGAGGGCAGGCACAGCGAGAGAGGGTCAGACTCCCACTTTTCATAGCAGGAGTCTTTAGACATTCTCTACCACTGGTACATTAAGAAATCAAAATACAATCAAAGGACATATTTAGGGATATGAAGATTCCCAGAGCAGAACTCAAAACTGAATTGGTGGAAAAACCAACCTTAACTGAGGCATGAGAAAGGGGACGAGTGGGTGTTTCTTACTGAAAGTTCTTCTAGGCTTTTAGTTTTTAAAAATTTGTATATCTTTACTTATTTTTTTAAAAAAGGAACTCTTTGTGAGAGTAGAAAATAGGGCATTTTCTCTCACCTTCCTAGGGATCGAGTGAGTGCTACATTATCAGACAAGCCCCAGGAATGGACCCATTCAGCCTTCCTACCTGTTGTATGACAATAGGCCCCACTGCCTTCTCTTTTGTTGTTGTTTTCGTGGGTTTTTTTTTTTGTTTTTTTTTTAACAGTAGGAATGCCAGCATGTCTTTTCTGGCTATAGAGGTCCACAAAGCAGGACAGGACAGGGGCATAGGGAAGGGAGGCTGGCACATGTGGAGATGACAGGTACAAACAGCCATAGCGTGCTGTGTGGAGCTGGTCAGGAGTTTGCCCTCTGAGTCAGTGGAGTCACCCTCCAAAGCCCACTCTCCTTGGCAACATCCTCAGGCAGCATCCTGTCTCTTCTCCACTGTTTGTGGGTACCCTCCCCCAGAAAGAGGGCTCAAAGGAGCTGGGTCAGACCCCTGGCCTGATGTCTAGGCATGACAGATTTCTGCCTTCACCCGACAAGCACAGGAAGAGCCCTATCTGCCCAGCACTGAGCTGGGTGCTGGGGCTCCCAGAGGGCACTGGAAAGGTGGGGAGATGGGTGGAGAGGGTCACATCCACTGATGAGAACTGGCAAGGTGGCCAAGGTGTTAGAGTGGGCACTGACTGTCCCTCCTCTGCCCCTGTGCTGTGGGCCTAGGGTACCTGTTTCCTAAGTCTATGGGAGCCTAGATCTGTTAAGTTCTCTACTGAAAAGGACTTTGTAGTCAAATACAGTTGGAAACCTCGTAACCCGCTCTGCTCCCCTTTGGAGAGTCAACGTGCACATCAACATTCTGAAGGCTCAGAGAAGGCCTGAAATGAAGACACCTGTCTCATTTGGTGCTTCTGCCTTTTTGTTTGTTTGCAACACAAATACAGCAGACCCACCCCCCCCACCCCCATATCCATGGGGATATGCTTCAATACGCCCAATGGATACCCAAGACCACAGATAGTATCGAACCCTATAAATACTATGGTTTTCATTACACATATATACGTATGATAAAGTCGAATTTATAAATTAAGCACAGTGAGAGACTAACAATAACTAATAATAAAATAGAAAAGCTATAACAATATACTGTAATAAAAGTTATGTGAATGTGGCATCTTTAAGTACAATAAGAGTTATTTGAACACAAGCTCTGTAGTACTGAGGCAGTCAATCTGATAAGTGGCTAATGGACATCTTATCCAGCATGGAGATGCTGGGCAAAGGGATGATTCACGTCCTGGGTGGGATGGAGCAGACAGCGTGAGGTTTCATCGTGCTCCTCAGAACGGCATGCCATTTAAAACTTATGGACTATTTCTGGAATTTTCCATTTGATATTTGTGGACCCTGGTTGACCTCAGGTAACTGAAACCACAGAAAGTGAAACTGCGGGTCGGGGGCTACTGTACATACTTGTTAAGCTTCTGTGGCTCTAGTGCAGTGGTTCTCAGCTCTGGGGTGATTTTGCCTACCAGGGGACATTTGGCAGTGTCTCATTTTTGGCAGTTATGACTGTGGGGTGCTACAGGCATTTAGTGGGTAGAGGCCAGGAATGCTGCTAATGTCCTATAATGCTCCGGAGAGCACAGCCCTCACCAGAAGGCAGTATCCAGCCCCAAATGGTAGTAGTGCCAAGGTTGAGCATTTCTGTTCTAGGGTAACTCATAAACAGCACTACTCAGGGGTCACTGGGTGAAGGACCATAGCTCATTGGCATGAAAAGCAGCAGTTAAACCTGCAGAACCCTAGTTCTTTGATTCTAAGACCCACCTTTTGACTTTTCCCCACATTTTAATGTCTTGGAAATCAGACACATCCTGCAGTCAGTGGTGCATCCCAGTTTAACTGGAAGCATCTCTTTTTCTTTCTTAGTGTTGCTTAAAATAAGGGTGCCTCTAACAGTCAGTGACATCTTAGATTTGTGAAATTATACTTGGTTAGACTGGGGCCTTGGGCACCTCACTTCTCCTTGCCAGGCCTCACTTTGCCTATTCATAAATTGAGGACCTGGAGAAAGATCATGGCTGAGGTCCTGTCCATCCCTCCACAGTTTGTGATTCGTGTTGCTCTCTATACAGGGGCATGAACACACATCAACTCTCCATCCACCCTCTGTGATGGAAGGGAAGAGAACCCACCAGTGAGTCTAAAGCAGCATCTGGGATATTTTGATATCTTTCCTACTTTTTGAACCTAAACTTCATAAGTGAAGAATGAAATAATAGCCACATTGGTATTTCTCTGTAGAGGGGGACACTAGGTTGTTTTCCAGCTAGTCTCTCATTCAGTTTTACAAGCAGCTTTCAGGATATTGAATTTTATTGTTGTGGGGAGAAATAGACTCAATGAGGACATGAGTTCACTTCAAAGCTTTACCATCCTCATCCTCCCGCTCCTAGGGTTGTTGACTCCTCTCCTGGAGACCACCCAGCCCTGGACCTCAGCCCCTTTTGTTAGGCTTGTGCTTCTGCAAAGCAATAGTAATGAAGTTTCAAACCTTTTTATTCAAAAAGTATGCCGGATGCTGTTCTCAGTACATAGGGTATAGCCACAGACAAGCCAGACCTGTGTGGTCCCTGCTCCCTGAACCTTCATTCTGGTGGGGGAGTTGGACAGATAAGCACACATGAATATGTCGGATTTTCCTTGTGTGTTCTAATGCAGAGAATTAAAATAGGGCAGAGGGACAGAGTGGGCTGGGGTGTCAGGGAAGGTCTCAGTGAGGAAGTGACTGTTCAGGTCAGTGTATGTGTATGAGATTCTAGGGAGTGACCTTGGCATGTGTGAGAACAGAAACTGGGTCAGTGTGGCCAGAGGATGGGGGACAAGAAGGAGAGTGGTAGGTGATGAGGTGGGAGTTGGTTGACGGAGCCTGCCAGGCTTCCCAATGGGATTTCATTCCGAGCACGATGGTCAGTGTAGGAGTAAAAGTGAAATTCAGCAGAGATGTCTTGTCTTCTGAAAAGCTGCCTCCTTGAAGCAGCAAGGTAGCCAGTGGCTCTGTCAGGACTGCTCTGGGTCAACTGTGATAAGGGATGGCATCGTCACCAGCAAGGCAGGTGGGAGGTGGGGACAGTGTGGAAAACTCAGCTGCATTTATTGACCACAGACATCCCATATGGTTGCTCCTGAAGAAGAACTTGGAAAACCAGGTCAGGAAGAATGTCAGTGGGAACCACAAATGAACTCAGCCAAGCCAAGCTGAGGCAGCTTCTTCAGGGAAGCAAGAGGGCCAGGAAAGCCATGGGCCTCGGTTTCACTTTTAAGCTGTAGCTTCATGAGCTTCTGGAGAGGGTTTGAAGGTCCACCCACCCATGGACAGGGCTGTCTTTTTCTTCTTTGTGCAAGTTTGTCAGGTGCCAGAAGCACAGCCAGCCAGGTTGCCAGCTGGGAAGAGATCTGGGGTCTTGCCTTGCCCAGTGCTCCTACAAATCGGATTTTGCTTTTTGAATGTTAGATGCTAGTGGGCTCA